GATCCTCTCCGGTGTATGGATCCCAGATACAAAGTGTTCCGTCATCAGCCCCGCAGGCGAGCATGGTCCCATCGAGCCTCCACGACAGAGAACGGGTCGCCATGTGCAATCGATCAAAGCGAGACACCGGCTTCCCCGTAGCGATATCGTAGACGTGAATATAGGTTCTGGGATTTCCCTGGCTAAAGGCGAGAAACTTTTGATCCGACGAGAAGGCTCCGCTCCAGAGCTGGCCGCCCAACGGCCCCAATATACGAAGACAAGACCCGGACCAGGCGTCCCAGACCCGCGCGGTGCCATCCCATGCGACGGATGCGACCAGCTTGTTATCGGGGCTCATGGCAGCCCACATAATACGGTCCGTGTGACCTAGCAGTTGGTGTCGAAAGGATCGAGTTTCGATATTCCACAGATTGACACAGGGAAGAGCCGCGGCTTCGCGGCTTTCCTCTTGGGTTGTCTCGTTCTGGCTGAAAAAGACCATCGTTTTGCCGTTCGGACTGAAAGAGCCAAGCTCGCCCTCGAAGCTGAGTTGGGGCTCTGTCGTAGCGACGAGTTTCCCTTGCTCGTCCAGCTCCCATAGAATCACCCGTGGGTTGTCATCACTGCCGCCTTGTGACGCCAGCAAATAGCGGGTGTATTTGCCATCGCGGCTGTCAACGGCGCCTGGCGCAAACTGGACAGTCTCAACCCACTCTTCATCGGTCAACACTTCGAGTGGCGCCTGCGTAGCAACATCGAAGACGCGTATTTCTCCATCGATCCCCACTGCCACAAGCCTATCATCGGGACTCAGAGTGGGCGTGGATGCGATTCCACCCTGCCGAATCTTTGCTCTCTCTTGCCCCCATCGTTTCGGATGGCCTGGTGCCCAGGCGGCAGGTCCTCCAGCGGATGAAACGAAGTCACGCTCAAGGCCATATGTAAAATTTTGCACAAATTTTTTTCCGTTCATGGACATGGACATTTTGGATGGTTCAGTGCTGAATTGGTGGTGACACATCCGAAGATGACGACGACGAACAGATAAAAGGCTATCCGTAGATAGGTACTGAGTCAAAGGTCAGTAGTAGCGTTGTCTGATATACTATAAGTAGCCTTTCGAGATTCCAATTGGCCCTTTAGGGCACTTATCCAGCACAGCCCCGGTGGGACTCTCCAATGACATCGCATCTCTGGCCTGTCAAAAGGCTGTGGTTCTTGAGACCCTGAAAGGACCCCTGGCAGGCTGTGGATACGTAGGTAACTAGCAAAGCTTTTTATTGACGGAGATCAGAAGGCTTATATGAACAAGCACCATCATCTGTCTGGTTAGTCTGTTTTAGACCGTTAGATTGTGGGTCGGATTCCACTTGGGCGATGGAATGGACCAACAGCATCAACTACAACAGACGCCGCTTTGCTTACGGTTCGGAGGAATTTGTAATTGTCCTCGAGATTGTCCTAGGTGATTGGGAGGCAATGGCTAGCCCTAGTCTACGGTATCTCACCCTAAGCCGATAGTCACCGTTATTTCAGCTTTTTAAAGGGGTAAAGGCCATTATCTTCTCCACACCCGATGGTCGTGTGTACTGACATCTTCAAGTACAAGGCTTTGTAATAGGAGTGATTAGTAGCTGAATATAGTTGGGAGTATATTGAGAGATACTTATTGATAGTCGATAGATTATCTATTACTCTGCACAAGATCGATAATGAAACTTTCAAGAGGGATACTATCTTAGATAGTTGAACTATCTCTCGCAATTGAAGATGTGTGCAGCTATGGAAATAAAAAGGGTATTTAGATAGTAGTCTAACTTCTTGCCTGCAGAGCTAATCAGAAATATAGAGTGATGGATAGTACATTCTTAACATCAACTGCCGGTAGACGCCAACTCCCGCAAATCAACCAAAGGTGAAATCGCATCCAGGAAATTTGTGATACACCAGCCCACAGGCTATCCGCCATGATGGAAACCCTCTTGTTGCCAGTCGTCCCCATTTAATTGCTGGCCGCTATTATGGATGTTGCCAGCTCCACCAGCCAGAGCAGCAGCACCTAAGCTTGCGCTATGCTTCTCTATTTCCATCGTGCTCATCATGTATAACATAGCGAACAGAAGAATATGGATGGCGAAGCAATATCCCGCGAATAGGTTCCGGCTGGTCCGATTAGCCAGGATTATTCGGGTGAGAGAGAAGACAACCCGCTCAGGGAGGCTCATGCGTTTATATGCCCGTACAGATTCCCGGCCCTTGAACGCAGCAAATGGCGAAATCTGGGCCTCGTAAGCAGATTGGTAGCGATCAAGTGACAGCCCCGATGGCGTGTCCGCAGACAGATGAACGGAGGATGCGCTTGGCTTGTTTCCGTAGGCATTCGCAGAAGAGGAGCCCCCCTGGCCACGGTTGTACGTTGACACATATCGTGTCTTTTCATACAGGCTGAGGTTATCCTTCTGAAGAGTAGAAACTTCCTGCCTAAGCGACTTCACTGTGTTGTACATTTTGGAGAGTTCCTCCTCTAACTCCGCATTCTTTTTCTTGAACCGGTCACGCTGTGCCTGGATCATCGGCAACAAGCCTGAGCCGCCCCCAACGGGTTCTCCGGCTCGAATGGCATCCATAGTGTTGGAAGACCCAGAGGAATGATCAAAGCCCGAGATAATTGACGATGTCGGCGACGTACCTCCCCGGCGAGAGGAGTAGGGGTGTCTAGATGTGTAGGTGCCTGCCACGGACATCGCAGATGATGGGAAAACATTCGCTGCCTCTTCCTGCACCCGAAGGAGATCATTCTCAAGAGTGGTAGAGAGTTTCTGGGACTTTTCAAGCTCCTCCTTAGTCGCTGACAGATCTTCACGCAGAGTCTCGAGTTGGCCCTGAAGGTCCCGGTGTGATACCCGTAGGATAGTGAGTTCATCCGTGAGCTTCTTGTTTCTAGACATCAGAAGCTGCTCTAAACTGTTCTTTGCACCATCCTTGGAGGGACTGCCATTGACGGCAATCGCGGCATCATCTGTAGAGTCCCGGGCATCATCATCGTCACCGGCAGAAAATTCGATAGACTATAGACGGCTATTAGCATTCATCTGAGAAATAGGGTATGGCCACCTACTTTTATCATCTCCAGCTCCCGGCGGATATCTTCATAATCTGCGACCTTTTCCAACCTCGTTCGTAGCTCATCTCTCTCAGCGGCAACTTTGGCGCCATGTCTCTCGGATTGCGATATCTTGGCCTCCCAAGAATGCCGTTCAGACTCCTTGTCAAACCGTGCTGCATCCAACTTGCGCAATAGGGAAGAGTTCTCCGATTGAAGGCGAAGGTATGCGGGGTCTTCTTCAACGGATGTTGTTTGTTCTGGCTGCGAATGTGAGACAACTTGAGCCAGCTCAAGTCTCAATTGCTCATTCCGTGCCTCTACTTCTGCCAGCCTAAGACTAGTCTTTTCGAGATCGGCTGACACCAGCTCCAGTTCCGCAGCGGTAGCCCCGCCTTGCTGATGGCCATCACCACTACTCTCCTCTTGGCCCAACCGTTGTGAAACCTCGTAGCTCGCTTTGAGTTCCTTAATCAAGCGTTCTTGGTTCTCTACCTTTTCTTCCAAGCTCTTCTCCTTGGCGGTCCAATTGTTCGATTTCTCCGACAAAACGGCTGACCAAGAAGACTCAATCTCTTTAATCTTTGATTCCTGATTATCCTCCAACTTCTTTCTTGCTGTCCGCTCTTCTTCCAGCCGCTTCTCAGCATCGTCTAATTGGGAGGTAAGGCGGTCCACGTTGCTCTGTAGTTGATTCCGTTCGGAGGTTAATTTCGGCACGGTTTCTTCGGAATGAACGAGAGAGTCGATGGATGCCTCGAGGAGTGGATAAGGGTCAGGAGCCTCTGACAAGGAAGAGTATAGCTGTAAGAAAGCGTTGGAAGAGGCCTTCCCTTGGTTCGTCAAGACGTCGATAAAGCTTTGGTACGCTGGTCATAGATCCGTTAGCCCGCCAGTGTCGAAACGAGATCCGTAGGGAAAGGTACAAACCTTTCAACAGGCCCTTGTATTCTGCCAGCTTGGTCGCATCATCCAGCTTTCGAAAATCCTTCGTCTTCTGGGCGAGATCCTTCCTTTGAACGAGGGCATCGCGCTGCTGAGCGACAATGTCGGAGGCAGTCGAATCTAACTTCGCGATCGTATTGGACAGGTCAATGCCTGTGTAAAGCCGACAAGTTAGTTTCCAAACTGGGAACATCAGAATATGTCATTTTAGGAAAGGTACCTCTCCAAGCCGCAATAGCGCGTTGGAACTTGTTAGCCCCCTCGGGCAACTTTCCACTGGTGTCCTTTTCGGCATCGTGGCCATCTTGATTGTTTGAATCAGGCACAATGCCCTCCGTAAGCGCGAAAGAATCCATCCTTGGGGATTTTTATAGATTATTACAAGTACATTGAATCTTGAACGACAGCCCCGCCAGATAAAAAGAATGTCAACACCACTTCTGAGAAGAAGAGACCCTGAGTAACAATACAGTATGCGATGCGGAGACATGAGACGCTCCGGGGCGGCCCGACGATGTTCCGAACGCGTCAGCTACTGCTTTTCTTAGATTTACATGACATGTGGCCGCGGGACACGTAGTAGTAGACAAGTCTTCCCTGTCATATAAAATCTTTTGTTGATTAATGGCGCAGGCACGGAGTATTTATCCATATTATTACTGTTCCAGGTGTGCTTAGTTGCTCAATTGACATCTGCAAACATTGTTCATTTCAATTTCCAATTTTCAATAGACCTTGTAGGATATATCAAGTGACGCTGTACACACTGAGCATGGTGCATATAAGAGCCCATAACCGAGACAATACCATTGATAACAAGAGACCGACAGTTGCATAGTTGAGTAGCCTCGACTGTATTCCGAATTAACTAGATAATAATAAGAAGCAAAGCATACTTTTGGTATGGTGGAGAGGAAGTCTGATACTAGAGGGAAGAAAATACTCCACTGGGGGCGCCTGAGTCAGCAAAAGCTAGCCCCGGCTTTGGCCCACTCTTAAGCCACTTTAGGACATCACCTCCAAAGCTTCCGACGTTTCCCCTCAGAGGCCTTGAGGTTGCCAGGAACCATCTCATATCGTGACACCAGAGCGGGCCTCATTATGGTGTCGGAAGACGATGGCACCAATCCCCGCAAGAAGCGGAAGATCACTCCGCCGAAAGCCCTACCTTATATGTTACGACCTCTTTTCGATCAAGTACCTCTAACGGCTGACGACCCCAATGATGATGTCCATATCACCTGCGTTGAATACTGGAGTATGTCTGCTTCAAGGCTACATCGCTTGGACAATCCCATTGAATGCGCTAACCGCCATTGACAGATGACAACCTCTATATCGGAACCTCCGCTGCTGAAATCTTACATTTTGTCTGCCTTCCGCCCGATCCATCGGACGACACCAACGAGCCGTCCTTCATTTTAGCCTCGAGATTACCTATTCCGTTTTCCAAGACCGCTTCAGTAACGAACAGGCAGCAAGGCATCCAGCAAATTGTTCTCCTTCCATCTGTGAACAAAGCCTGTATTCTCTGCAATGGAACGGCTACGTTTTACTTGTTACCAGAGCTCAGTCCAGCATTCCGCGAGAATACGAAGGTTAACAACTGTTGTTGGATCGGGGGTCTTGACCAGAATGCATCCATGGACGAGCCGGAGAGACCGGTTGTAATGATTGCAACGCAGAACAAAATGATGCTCGTGCGGATTGGTGACGATGCTCGACTGGTGCGAAACATTGAGTTTCCGGGATGTTTAACAGCATCACGAAGAGGCATAATCGCTTGTGCTGCAGATGCTCGCTCATACTCCCTGCTAGATGTGGAACACCAGCAAAAGATACCTCTCTTTCCAATGTCCTTCTTCGATGAAGCATTGGCGTCTGGTCAAGTGGAAGACATGCCACCCGCCTCGTTGTCACCTAGCTCTTCTGCGGAGGGTCATGCACATGGTAGAAGCTCCAGTTTGAATACACTCGCCGGGATGCTTCAGTCGAATGCACGATCAGCTTCACAAGATCGTTCGAGCTCTGTAACACCCGAGCTCTCCTCCACTTCCGGGACACCCACCCGTTCACGCTCGAAGGAACGAGGCGATAGTATTTCGCCAAGGGTATCATCGGAGCATCCATCGCGCGATTCGCAATCTAGTCCTCGTGAGGATCCAAAACCGCTTCCGCCATTGCCAAAGAAACCGTCGACACAATTAAAGCCACATATTCTTTCTCCGACTTCATCTGAGTTTTTGCTGGTCAGGGGCACCGATACGGCGGAACCAGGAGTTGGAATGTTTGTCAACGTGGACGGTGATGTGGTCCGCGGAACAATCACGTTTCACAAGTACCCGGAGTCGGTTGTCATTGACAAAGGCAACGAAAATAACCTTATTGGAGCACCCAACGACACCCGCGAGGATCTCATTCTTGCTGTCATAGAGGCCGACCAAGACGGAAAGTTACGCAAGTTCTTGGAGGTGCAACTTTGGGATGTCGACCCCGGAAATGCGGACAACCACAAAAGCTGGGTAGAGATACCTTCCGTGCAAGATACGCTGCCATCTCACGTTGGACTTCTCCATACACTCTCCCCCAGCCAGCTCGAAGTAAGCGAAATGAGAGGCTTGCTGCAGATGGTCCGATTGAGAACACCATCACTATCACCACATATCCCTGCAACCGACCCGAGGACACAGGCATCGATAGAGCAGCTACAGAAAGAAAAAGAACTGTTCGAATCTCAGGAAGCAATAGACACCGAAGGAACGAAGAAAGACACCCCCGACTGGGAAGCTGAGCGAAATACCGACGAGGCTAAGTTCGCGCGTGGATTGGGCAAAACCCAAAGCAGCCTTGTTTTGTGGAGTGGTAATCAGATATGGCGGGTCGTGAAGAACCCTTTGACCACGCAATTGAACGATGCACTTCAAAGTGCCCGAGAATCGCAGGGGGACGGCCACAGTGTCGTAAGACGTGATGCGATTATGGACATTATCAAAATGGTACAAGAAGCAGAGCCCAAGTCGGAGGCTGAGTTCCTGGGCTTGAACTACGTGAAGCAAAAATCCAGTTTACTCCTCTTCGGCGACTTGGTCTTCATGGACCCGGCTGTCAGGGATGGAGCGACAATCGATGCCACAGAGAAAGCACTCATTACCGGGGAGCTGGACCCCCGAGTAGCCTTGTTGTTGGTCCCCCTTTTGCGCCAAGAAGTTTTGCAAGGACCGCAGGGCATCTGGATTCATGGGGGTCTGGCAGAGGTTGCAGAGGCGTACCTTAAGCGCCTGGATAGTGTGAAAGCTTCTAAAGAACCGGACGTCTTTGATAGCGGAATCTTGAATATGATCAAGCGATTCTTACTTGCCTGGCAGCAAAAACGAGGATATGGCAGCATTACTGACGACGCTTACATATTCGATAGCGTTGATGCAGCCCTCCTGCATCTGCTGCTGGAACAAGATTCGAATGTACCTACGGAACACCGCCTTTCTTCACGAACACGTACGGAATTAAATAGACTAGTGGATAATTGGAAGGGTAACTTTGACCGGGCAGTAGCGCTTCTAGAAAACTACAAGCGACTATTTCTCCTGAGTCGCTTGTACCAGAGCCAGAAGATGTCCCGTAACGTCCTCAAGACGTGGCGGCGGATCATTGAAGGGGAGGAAGATTCCGGGGGTGAGACCACCGCCTCCGGCGTTGAGGCACAGATGCGCAGGTATTTGGTCAAGATCAAAGATGCACAGCTTGTTGAGGAATATGGTGCTTGGTTGGCCCAGCGAAACCCCAGTCTTGGTATACAAGTCTTTGCGGACAACACCAGCAGAGTTAAATTAGACCCTGTAGATGTTGTCCGCTTGCTCAAGGAACGAGCGCCCAACGCGGTTCAAGATTACTTGGAGCACCTGGTCTTCTCAAAGAATGTAGGTTCTACCCCATCCCCCTGTTTAACCCTCGGATCACTGACTCTTGAACTAGTATACCCAATACGCAGATGACCTCCTTTCATATTATCTTGATACTGTGCTCTCTGTTCTTGAGACCTCTCCTGCTGCTCGGTCATCGCTTGCGGAATCATATTCGACTTACCGTGCATTGCAGCCGCCAAAACCGACGTATATGAACTTTATCCACGAAAACACGCCCTCTGAACCTTGGTGGCAATCGCGACTTCGGCTTCTCCAGTTGCTTGGCGGAGGCGGTAGTAGTCAATTCTCGTCGGTCCCGTCCCCTAAATTAACGTATTCCATTCCTGCTGTTCTCGCACGGATTGAGCCATTCCAAAACGAACTCGTATCGGAGTCTATTATTCTTGATGGGCTCCAGGGCCGTCATCGGGAAGCCCTGCATCTTCTTACACATGGCCTCGGCGACTACGACTCTGCAGTTCGATACTGCCTATTCGGCGGTCCTCGGAGTACCAGCTCGACCAGCACTTCGGCAGAGTTTGCTGACCGGTCACACCAAAGTGAGCTGTTCGGGCACTTACTCGATGAGTTTCTACATATCCAGGACCCCTCGGAATGCATCGAACGAACTAGTGACCTCTTGGCACGATTTGCGTCCTGGTTCGATGTGGGCGAGGTCCTCCGTCTTGTCCCAGATAACTGGAGCGTTGATATCCTGGGCGGTTTTCTTGCGCATGTCTTCCGAGTCCTCATCTCAGAGACCCGTGAAACCCGGATTGAACGAGCGCTCAGTGCAAGCTTGAACTTACGAGTTGGCACGGAGTATATCGAGGGGGTGGAGAAGGTCGGCGGCTGGCTGGAGGACGCCGAGGGGCTGCGGTGCTTAAAAGAGGCCAATACCCCCGCGGTTCTGCCCGCTGACGATGGGGATGATTTCGGAGATATGGTTGAACCTCGTGGCGGCGATTGATACCATGTTCTATTGATAGTGTACATAACGACATAAATGACGATCATACTAATTCATCTCACATCACATCCACGTCTATTAACTAATCCAGATCCGGCACAGGCAAACCGTTCACTATCTTTACCTTGCGGCCCAGTTTATCCAACGCCACCTTGGAGTTCTGCTCGCGCAAAGCGCGGGTCTCGGAATCAGAAACCAGGACAAAGTCATATGTAAGGAGAGCATGGTCCTCTGAAACACCGTACTTCTTCGCATACTCCGGACCTGCCTTCCCAATATCCACTACCAGAGAATCCTTGACTCCAAAGACCGCATCCGAAGTCTCATATGGATCATTCCGAAGATAAAGCGCCCTGCCAACCATTAGCCAATTTCCAAAAAAAAAAAGAAAAAAAAAACAAAAAGAGAAAATAGAAGAGAGAGAGAGAGAGAGAGAGACATACGTAATCAAATGATCATACCCCTCCTTCTCAAACATAAAATGCATATGACTCGGCCTAAATGGATGCCGATGCAACTTCTTCAACAACTTCCCGACCGGCCCATCATGCGGAATCGGGTACGGCACCGGCGTAATCGCCTTAAACCAAAACACGCCGGAATCATCACTGCGCATGATACAGCGGCCATCGGGACCGTCCCGTTCCGCATACTGCACGTCATAGTGGCCCGTGGAGTCCGTCTCCCAGATATCGATCTTCACGTCGGAGATGGGGTTGCCGTTCATATCTTTTAGCGTGCAGACGACGAGGAGCGGCTCGCCTTTGGGGTCGTGAGACATGCTGTCGCCGTTGGGCATCACTTCGGCTTCGTGCGTGTGGAAGGGGCCAAGAACTGTGCCTTCGGTTGAGCCGGGGGGTTTGGGGTGGTCGATCGAGTCGACGAGAATTGAGAGACCGAGAATGTCGGAGAGGAGGATGAATTCCTTTTTTTTTTTTTACTCATGTCAGTATCCTTGCTTTTCTTTCCGTATGATGTTTTGTTACTTGGGGAATAGATTGCAGTGACTACTTACCTGTCGCACATCCGAACAAATCTTCCCCACCTCCGTGAGGAACATTAACCCTGTCATCCATTCCTTGGAACTGAGTCTCGTTTCGCGGGCGAAGTCATGTAAATGAGAAACTAGTCGTTCGAGTACATATTTCATGCGCTCATCTTCGCACAGCGAATTAATGCGAATGACATTTTCGGTAATGTTGTCGACCGTAAGGTCCTTCATGGGTGGAATTTTAACCTGTGAGGGATCCATTTTGTGTTTCAATTCCTCACTATTGAAAAGTATGTATCACTTAAAGAATGGGTAAGAAAGACAAGAGTAAAGGACAAAGTCAATGACGGGTTGTGGTTCCTATATACTGCCAGAAAGGAGGGGATCATCACACCCCGCATTGGGCAGATCGGATGATGCATAAGAGTTGAATAAGCATGCTTTAAGCGGAATTGGTTCCTTCATGGGGAATGTGTAGGTTCTCCCCGATGGATCTGCCGGTGGGAATTGCCATTGGGATTATGGCGGATTAGCAATCTGGGGGTTGTTGGTGGGTGGGATGGGAAATGTCGTCGGATATCCCCCCGCTGATCGACGGGGGGTACATTAAGCCGTATATCCGGGGTGCATTGCATTGGGATATCGCATACAGTATCCTAATAGTACTCTATTTACACTCTACAACAAAGGAAAAGAACTGGGCTTAGTGATATGAGATAGATGCTAAGGAGGACTGGGTGAAATCTAAATAAGAAGGAACGATATCTCCTCCCCACTTTACCTGGAATGAAGAGTGCGTGTCCAATGCTAATGACGAGGATTGTGGGGAATAGAATCCATTCCCACAGCCAACGGCTAATACCATTGCCGATATTTGATGGGCTTTTGGTCCATGGTAATAACTTTTAGCTTTATAGGCACATAGAAAGAGGGATCTTTCAACAAATCAAGGTGCTGTAGTATAGTGGTCAGTACGGTTCGTTGTGGTTTAATCCCGAACAGACCTGGGTTCGATTCCCAGCAGCGCCAACAAGGCGTCTGACTTGATTTGTAACTTCTTTTTTTGGCGTTTTGGGGTTGCCTCTTCTTGAGTGCCCTCTCTGTCTATCTTTTTGGACTTACGTAGGTGATAGTTAGTATCTATCTTTTTCTGACATTCACTGGTGGCATTCAGTCGATGGTATTTTTACTGACCCTAGGATGCTGGGCCCCGCAATGAGTGAAAATGAGAGTTCATTCTCAAACGCAGGTTACAATTTGTACATCTCTTCTGAGGTATATATATATATATATATATCACCGTGGTTCTCTTGCACAACCGCAACCCCCCCCCTTTTCGACAGACAAAGTATACCGCAATCGTCATTAGAACACATCAAAACATGGTGAAGGGTGACTATAAACTATGATTAAAGTGGTCTCCGAGAGCCGTTATATAAGCTTGGCTATACAAAGCCTTCAGTTTCCTACTAATTAATCATTTCTAGACGCATGATTTAGGCAGAGGAAATGGCTTTTCCACATCTCTCACTCACCTCGATTTCTGCACCTCAGCATCGGGGTGGGGGGGCATCAATCAATATTGAATACTAATCTCCACTAATGGGCCCCGGAGAATAAATCCGCTCTATGACGATTCCTATCACCAGCTTATCAGAAAATACGGCTCTTGTTTAGACATGATTGTAGGCCAATCATCTCTCAAAGCTACTCCACAGTTCAGCCAGCCACGTTTGCGTTCTAGTGTCTAACATTGGGTCCCAAATTACTGAATGACACGATGAAACCCTATTTGGGAAGAGTGGAGGTGCTCAGCCGCAGATTGGGGGAAGATCTGCTCCGTATCGTGTTCCTCAGACCCGACATCGACTGACTTATCTATCACCCGCCGTAGACTGACCCGACATCGATGTCGAGCTCAACGCCAGTAGGGCACCACCCTCAAGATTTCCCCTCTCCTATAATTCTCTACCCCTCTTATTATAAAGTCTTAATTCACCCCATATACTTCCATCTTTATCTCTCCTGACTGTCATTCTTGCTCTGGGACCTCTACACGCTCTGTTATTGTACATACATACTTTAACAAGGATCCCTAGGAATCTGTTCGTATCTCCCAGAGAACTACATATAAGAATCCATCCTCAGCCGTCAAAATGCGGTAAGTCACCCTCTCAACTCCTACTTCATCACTTCTGCAATTCTATTGCTAAGCCACTCCCCTCCTGCAGGAGGGAAAAAACACAAATCACCCTCGTCGTTCTCGGCCATCTGGATCACGGCAAGTCCACTACTGCTGGTATGTTATACTGCCCGTGTTGCTCCATCTGCCGTATGGTATCCTAACGTTCCTGATGCAGGCCATCTGATATACAAATGCGGTGGTGTCAGCGGGGATACCATCCAGGCGTACGAGCAAGTATGCTTTCCCTGTCTTCAGATCTCTTGACGTACGGGTGCTAGGCGAGATGATAACCACCCCCACTCAGGAAGCCGCTGGTATGGGCAAGGCCTCGTTCAAGTACGCATGGGTCCTTGATAAATCGAGGGCTGAACGTGAGCGTGGAATTACTATCGACCTTTCTCTCTGCAAATTCGAGACCCCTAAATTCATGGTCAATATCATTGGTAAGCAACAATCCGGATCTGAGAGGGCTTATTATATTCTGATTGCCATGGTAGACGCCCCTGGTCATCGTGACTATATTAAGAATACGATTACCGGTGCCTCGCAGGCCGACTGCGCGATCCTCGTCATGTCTGCTGACACTGGTGAGTTTGAGACCGGTGTGGAAAACGGTGGCCAAACTCGCGAACACCTTCTACAAGCATTTACCCTAGGGGTCCGCAACCTTATTGTGGCCGTGAATAAGATGGATGCTACTAGATGGAACGAGGATCGCTTTAATGAGATTATCAAGGAGACCTCCTTTTTCGCGAAAAAGGTCGGTTATAATCCCAAAACTATTGCCTTTGTCCCTATCTCCGGCTTCCATGGTGATAATATGCTGGAGGAGTCCCCTAATATGTCATGGTATAAAGGCTGGACAAAAGAGCAAAGGGCCGGCGTTATAAAGGGTAAAACCTTGCTTGATGCCATCGACGCAGTTGAACCCGTGCCCTTCTACACTGTCACTGATAAGCCATTACGTCTACCCATCCGGAAGGTTGAAGAGACAGAGACCGGTACTGTGCTGGTAGGCCGTATAGAGACTGGGACTATGCATCCTGGCATGGTGCTTACGATCGCCCCGACCGATATTGTCGCTAACGTGGAATATATTGAGATGGATGGTGGGGAGGTCAATACAGGTATTGCAGGTGAACATGTTAGTGTTCATGTCACAATCACAAATGGTGAGGGGAATATCCGGCCCGGCTATGTCGCTGGCGATATCCAGAATGACCCCCCGGAGAGTGTTGCCTCCTTCAATGCCCAACTGGCCATTCTCAACCACCCTGGCGAGATCAGTGCTGGCTATACCGCGATGGTGGACTGCCTCACTGCCCATGTCCCCTGTAGGATCTCGAGTATCCTGCACAAGATGGACCGCCGTACCGGCAGGCCGACCGAACAATCGCCCCATTCTATCAGGGCGGGTGAGATGGCTGTTGTCGAGCTGGTTCCCACCAAGCGCATGTGTGTTGAGCCCCACAGCAAGAACCCCTTTCTCGGACGCTTTATCGTCCGTGACGAGAGCAGCACAGTCGGAGTTGGGACCATCACCGACGTCAAGTTTGGTACTGTCGACGACGCCGATGAGGACGACGATGACGAATACTAGTTGTATTATTCGAATTAGGCTGGCGGCGCCGGCTGTAACAAGGTGGCCATTAGGATCTACGAACTTGGTGGTTTTGGTTAAGGGTCCAACCACCTAGATAGTCAGAATAAGAAAAGAATAAGAGAAAGGTCGATACCGTGCATTGTTTGCCTAGCGAGCCCCCATCCCAATCCCTCTCCACTAGCATGAAGTTTTGGATCAACGTTTCTTGTCATCGTCTAATTTTGCGTGACGATGGTTGACAATTCTTAAGCTCTCCTATGGTAGTCTACATAGTATTTGACAATGTACAATAGTGCGTGCTTATTCGATGGATCTGGCAGCTTGATGTACTTTCCTGAACTCTCCACCTCCATTAAGGAACCAAAAGTGATGTTGAGAGTCGTGTAAACTAATATCTCTAACATAGCAGATCTATATCTATGCCATACCGGTCCAAGCACTGGGTGCATTACTTTATTTCATGCCTTCCTAAGGGCCTCACACCTATTAAACCTAAAATCAAGTTTCAGAGAATCCGGTTTGATTTGAAAGATATCGGAATTGGACAACATTAGCCTGATTTAAATAGTCGAAAACCTTGTATTGGAGAATCTCCCCCCTTTGCGAGCCATCTCTAACTTCCTCAAAATGCATGAAAACGTTTCGTATCCAACCAAATTCACCGAACCCCGTTCATCCTCAACATCAAGACCGACCGCCCCGTTTCAAAACCGCAATCACACACCACCGTCTCCCATGCCCTTTCTCATCCTCCCTTACCGGCATCCACTCCCTCCGCACGTCAACCCCCAACTCAATATAAGCCACCAAATCCCTCTCAAAGGCCAACTCAATCTCAAACCCCATTGCCAGCATCGTCTCGAAAAACCCCACCACGACCACACGGCCCAAGTGCGGCTCAGCCACCACCCAGACTCTCCCGCCAGGAGCAAGGAACCACGCCATCGAGCGGGCGAGGCTCTCGTGCTGCGACTTCTGCCAGAAGCAATCAGCTGCGATGATACGGGTAAAGGCGCCCTTATTTTGCTGGGCGAATGGGTCCGTGAACACACCCCATTCATGGGGGTGGATGGAGACATCTGCAGTGGGGCGATGGTGCAGATTGGAGGCTATGTTGGAGGCGATTGTGCCTGAGAGGGCGGGTGAAGACGGGTGGTCTGTTGCTACGACTTTGGCTGCGTTGGCTAGGGCGCAGATGAGTGAAGGGAGAGCGGCGCCTGGTTCCCCCATCCCATGGGATAGGGGTGGTGTTAGTGGTGGTGGTAGTGGTGGTCTATAGAGAAAAGAAAGAGTGTTATGTTACTCACCGGCGCCTAGTTCCAGTACGCTCTCGCCTTCTACCTGCCATAGCTCATGAGGTTCTTTCTCCTTCTCGGGCTGTGGTGTCTCCGCGCGGCTGTAATATGCGTCTTCTACGCCCTCAGCTACTACTATGGCCGCGTTCCATAGGTAATGGGCAAATAGCTTGCGGCCCTCATTGACATCATCTGCTCGGTTGTCTTTCTCTGTGGGTTTTGTAGCATTCTCGTCTGAATGCTTATCATCTAGACTCGGGTACCCGGGCACCATGATCTTCAGGTCGCCCCAGCGAGTACCGTAGAGAAGCTCCTGGCCAGGGCCGCCTGGCTGTGGTGGCGGGTTACTATCTGGGAAGAGGTGCGACCGGAAAGCACCGAACACATCCTCCGGTGATTCATTGACATTGTTGAGATCCTCAGGTAGTTCTGGTCCTGGAACGCTGGGGGTAGGGAGGTTCCGTAGACGCGAACGGAGCATTGTCTTTGTTGCTTTGGAAGTGGCTGCCGAGAAAAGGAATGAGTGTATTGTTTCTTTTAGTCTAGTCGTCTCCCGTTTTGACTATGGGTTTAATATAACTGATTCTGTCGACAGTAGGCGGGGGGTAGTTGTACACCTTATGCATCTCTGCCGTGCAGCGGGAGCCAGATCTGGCGCCCCACTCACTATGGCCTTGGAGATTAAGGGTTCCCAACAGACTACGTATTATAGAGAGATCTTCAAATTAAGAACGGCAGGATTTTGAGTGACAGAATGAAGCCTTGGAAGGGACGTATAGCTCGTGCAAACCCCGCCAGAGCTCCGATATATTATATAGTAAATGCTGTGTTGTCCAAAGAATCATGCCAATCTGTTCATATATGCCCAACGAGAGAGGAACTAAAACTACTGGGATATCCGCTAAAACGCTCAAGCAGTACAAACCATGCACACAATAGATAACACCCTCATAAACCCCACAACCCATGCTACATGTCATGAATTTCCCACAAAAATGCAAGGCTAAAACAGGGAGAAAAGGGAAAGAAGAAACTAAGCTTTCACCAGTTTCCGGTCTCGGTCTCGTTCTTGCTCGCGCTCACGCTCAGTCATCGGTTGTCCACCCTCTTTCGCGGCGGCTGCGGCCCGCGCGTGGTGGTCAACCGTGTCGAGGATCGCTTGCATCAGCCGTTGATTGGCATCCGGGTCATCATCCTCGGTGGCTGGGTTGGTGTTGCGATTGATGCCGATATGCCTGTCATGACTCAAGGAGCTCCCTCGGATCTCACTCATCGCCCGGCGGGGCGACGGCTCCTTCCCGAGTGGAGTCCCGGGTATGGGGCCCGCCGTCGGAGCGGATTCCCTGCGCACGTTGTACTCAATCTCTCGGTGACGATCGATTTCGGGCATCACTACAGCCGAAGGGGGCGTGGGCGCGGAAGATATAGATGGCGCCATCGGGGCCGGTGCTGTGGTCGTCGGCAAGGACTCTTTCGGGGTCAAACTCTCTGGTCGCTCCCGTGCCATTGGATCGGGGCGTGGCTCACGGGCCTCACGTGGCTCCTGGAGCTCCTCCGCTTTGACATCCTTCCAAGAACACTTGGCATGCTTCTTCGTGCAGCCCATGCATGCTGTAAGGTTCTTCAAGCAATCCATGTGGAGGCGACGACACCGGTCACATGGGGGCAGTATGCGTTCACCGCGCTGCAGCTCCTCCATGCGGGCAACCATCTCCATCTTAAACGGGCCGCCGTCGTCCTTCTCATGGTGGTGGGACTTGGGCGGAGGGAGGAGCGATGACGGAGTGTTGGGGATGGCAACTGTGGCGGGGGCGGGGGTGTACATATTGTACTCCGTCGCATCCGACCCCCGCGGCCGTGGCCGGGATGACTGGCGGTTCTGGGACCCAGTCCCTTCTTCATAGCTGCGAGATTGTCGGTCTTGGGTAGTGAAGAACTTCTTCATCAACTCCGCGCGCGTTGTCGGAGATGCGCCTTTGATGGAGGTCCCATTGATAATGGTGACATTATCTGTGTTGGAGTGCGAGAACATAAACTGTTGCGACAGCGCATTGTCTTCAGTTGTGGGTTCCACACCGAGCCGGCCGGTGTTGACCGCAACGAAGCCGGTGGAGGGAGACTGGGTGTTTGAGTGGCTGCTGCCGTTCAGCGGATGTTGACTTCCATTGGCGTCGCGCCAGACGGGGCTGATAGAGCGATGCTGCTGTTGCTGTTGCTGTTGCTGTTGCGGCTGTTGCGATTGCGATTGCGATTGTGATTGCGACTGCGAATAAAGAGATAGATCATTCTCTCGACGGGTGACAATCGCTGTTCTTCGGTTTTTAAGACGATGATTGAGTTGTCTCGCTCGCGCGGACACTAGAAGAGGCGAGCGGTTAGCGTCGGCAGCCATACACATTGTTTTACATGAAAGCTCACCTTGGTCCGCGACCTGGATAATTTGTTGGAGGTTCTTCTCCAAAATCTCCAACGCGCCCAACTCCTTCTCCTCATCCTCAATAATCGGCTGCGGAGGGATCATTTTCTGCGGCATTCCCGATGCGATCAGCACGAAGTCTTCTTCGCTGATCTCCACCCGACACTGCTTGGTGTAGAATTGACAGACTCGCACGCCATTGCGGGTCTTCTCCAGATTGAATTGCTCTGGCTTGTTCTTGGCGAACTCCACTACGTCCAGCCAGGTGATGTTGGGGGAGTCTTTGCCGTGCGATTTGAGCACGCGGGGAGGGCCATCGAAAAGGCGCTCAAAGCGCTTGATCAGGATAGGCCCCAAAGGGCATGCGCCCAAATTTCCGGCAATACTCTCGTGACGATGTAGGACACCATCATATTCACCAATCAGGTGTATGATCGCGGGCATCGTATCATCGATGGAGACCAGAGGGAGATTATCCGGATACTGACGCGCCAGGTAGTTGATCTGCAGGTGGTTCGAATGGGTTTTGGGGACTTTGGAAGCGATGGGAGGGAAATCGCCGGACGGCGATCGAGGTCGCTTGCTGGACGGCTCTGCCGTCGCTGTCCTGGACTCCATGGCGTGCGGAAGAGAAAGTGAGCCAGGGAGGCGCACAAGTCACGAAGTGGATTGAATAAATACAATAAGGGAAAAAACGAAAAAAAAAAGAAAACGACAGCGGCAATGACTCGTGGAAGATGGCGTCAGAAGCGCAAAGGGAAAATTATTAAGCGATTCTAGGGCGATTGAGTAACGGGAACGTGGACGAAAGAAGTGCAGCCGATGGCGGAAGCACTGAAGGCTGCGGGTTGAGGTTTAGCCACTCGTGCCCGTTCAAGTTAGGTAATGACAATAAGAGGTAAATACCCCAACGAATCTGGGGTTCGATGGGGGGGCAAGGTCGAGAAATAATACACGAAGAGAAAGAAAAGAAAAAGGGTAATGACCAGGCCAGGATTCGCGCGTACACCGCGATACGGAAGAAAGAGGAGGGGAGAGGGGAGGAAGGGGAGAGAGAAGATGTTGGGGAGGGAAATGGGAGAGGGCGGACGCTGAGGAGAGGAAAGGAAGCTCACGAGAGGGGGGGGTATATTTGGAGCAAGAGATTGAAGGAGAGAAAGAAAAAAAAACTACCGCTTATTTGATTTAGTATTTGATCTCATTTCTTCTTAATTTATGATAGTCCAGACAGAGATCATCCATCTTTCTGAGTTGTCTCGTCCAAAAAAAAAAAAAAAAGGCGGACGGAACAGAATAGCCGTTGGGTAGGTTAAGTTTCTCCTGGAAAATACACAGTATCGTGCTCGTTCCCTCAATCTTGGTTATCTTTAGGTATGACTGGGGATGGAAATGTCATTCAACCCAATCACTTTCGTTCCTGACTTGGAATGGAAGATAGTAGTCAGGACAACTCTCATCCAGTGAAAGAGCTGGAGAAAGGACATGAGCGAAACAAAATCACCCAATGATATTACCAACAGTGCAGTTACTGACGGTGAGCGGAACGGATGCAAAAGCTCTCTTCCTTCAATCTTTTCCTCCCCTCCCGTAAGGTTCGATGATGCCGAGAGGGACACGATGAATGGCTGGATTGAATGGACCCGAACCCACAGTCGGGGATTGGGCGATCCTGAAAGTCTCATCTAACCCGATTTCTCTTAGTCGCGGTCCCGTCAAGAACAAGGTGAAGGGTGAGTACCTTAGCGCCTTAGGCAATCCAGCAGGTAGCGGGCGGAGTCCCGCCGGTCTCTTCCGCCGTCCATTCGGTGTGGCCCGGGAGCTCGGAACAGACTCGTCACCATCCATACCTGTTTTTTACTTGGTACGTAGTACTCAATCTTACCGGCAGCCTAGGAGAGTATCTTGAGCCATTTTCTTTCTTCGTTGATTTTTGATGAATTGAGATCTTATTATTGAGAGATTGCTTTTGACCCCCGAAGAAAATATTATCATTATTATCATCAGTATTATTATTACTAGCATCGGATTGGAATTTCGATACTAGTGTAGAAAAGATATACCGCTATTTTCCCGAAGTTTGATGGGGGCTTATGTTATGATCCCTTCTGATTGCATCAATCTCATATCAGATAGGAGGAAGAGACCAACCTAGGGACCGGATTCTGAAACCCCTTGCATGACCGGCTTGTCGGTAGGACAATGACAACCTAAAATTCCAGATTCATCCGTGACGAGGACCCTTTTGAAATTCTTCGAAATTAATAAAAAGTAACGGAAACCTGTTTTCCCGCCTTCTTTTCTTTCAGGTGTAACTCCTAGGCATACCTACACCAAACGTAGGATACTTGGTCAAGTGTATATACATACTGTGTCGATACCGGTACAAAGGGAAGGTCCCATTTTCCGAGACCAACCCAAACTTGCCGCTCCGCCCGTAAGTGTGCTGCCTAAGCCCGACCTCCATTGGGTAAAGGCCGACTCTGGCCGTCCACTCCACTGTCCTCTTACCACCCATGTGGACTGGATTTCATACACGCTAGTACAGGACGGGAGTAAGGTATGGTCACCGTTGACCGTGTGACGCGCAGTCATTGTGCGTTATCAGAGATTTTTTCCCTTTTTTACCTGGTGATGCTTAGCGGTCCGTTCCCGTGACCCCGTGACTTGTAGGTTCCCTCTCACGGCTACCTTGCCGCTGGCCTTACTGTTACTGCTATTATTGTTGAACCACAGAGGCACAGCACATTTATTCTCTGGCCGCTGACTTACTGAATCGGCCCCCTCCTCGAAAATCCCTCATACACCCGTGCCCCTTCCACCCCATCCTTTCCTGCAATTTGACGGACCAACCAAGTCCAAAGTGGGATCTGGTCTCTCACTCACGCATCCACCCACTGCAATTCTAGACAATTCCCCTCATCGGTTCCCCTCTCTTGTCTTACGATCTTTTCCCCTCTCTATTATATAACCGAGGAAATACAATCAACAAATAAAAAGCCCCAAAAAATAAAATAAAAAAACAAAAACTTTGTCCCAGCCAAGCATGTCCGAAAGAGGATCCTTCCGTGGAGGTCGTGGCCGCGGCGGAGGCCACGACAGGTCTGGCGGCCGTGGCGGTCATGCCAAAAGTGGCGGTGCTGGTGGCGGTGCGCAGCAGCAGGAGAAGCCCAAAAAGGAAAACATCCTCGACCTCAGCAAGTACATGGATAAGGAAGTTCGGGTGAAGTTCAATGGTGGCAGAGAAGGTAGGCCCACTTCTGTCACACCGATTTTATATATCTTTTTTTCTTAAAAAAAAATTGCCCGGATCCACTGACCAGCGCACAGTCGTCGGCACGCTCAAGGGATTCGACCAACTGATGAACCTGGTTCTCGATGATGTCAAGGAATCTATGCGCGGTATGTGACTCTGGTATATGTCCATGGTTTCCCCGCTTAATTCTAACGGCTTGTAAATAGATGACGAGGGCAACGAGAACACTCGTTCTCTTGGTTTGATCGTTGCTCGTGGTACTATCATTGTGCTCATCTCTCCTGCCGATGGCAGCGAAGAGATTGCCAACCCCTTCGTGCAAGCGGAGGAGTAAACGAAATCACATATGACGGATAATACTGGTCATTTCTGACATCGGCCTTGCATCTTTGGTCTTTGAGCAGTTCAAGACGAGCTCCCCTGCTCTCATGCGATACTTATCACAGCAATTGCGGAATTTAGTCTATTGACCTTTGCATGTGTGGACTGGTGACAGGCCGCTTATTTAACCACCCCCTCTATCTCTCAGCTTGCTAGCGCCCTGCCTGGCAAGTCTTTGTCTATCTCCAGAAAGGCTGATGTTGGTGTATCCACTTTGGACTATGAGGTCGAGTAGTATCTCCGCCATTGGTTGTTGTTAATAATATGAAGCGTCTGAAAGCGAATGGTCGGAAGCAGTTAAACGCAAAAATAAAATAATGAATCACGAGTCATGAATATCATGGCATTATTCATCCGCGTAGCTTTGTTCTACCAAATGTTGATCGCTACTAAGATATCCTCCACATGGCGTGACCGTGCTAAGCCTGTGACATCATGCTATATGACAGTAAGCTAGCGTCATGGAATCTCAGAGCTAATTTACATTTCTGGTCACGAATACGATTACGACTGCTCTAGACCGTCGCAGATTGGACAGCTTAACGTGGACATATTCAAGGATCCTGATCAATCGGCTTTGTTGGAAAGTTAACGCTGCGGCTTATTATAATTTAATCGGCAGCCTATATTCCACCATAAATACAACTCGATACCCATGTACCAAGCTACGTTGATCCCGCACTTATCCTCCCTTATCGTGCTTACCCCGGAACCCTAAGTGATACTAAACTGAATCACCATGAAAGTCCATCTCTGGTCGGTGGCAGTAACAGCCACTCTCTCCTCGGCCTTATTCATTCCCACCTCCCAGCAAGCCCTAAATGACCTCGACCTCAACAACATCGACGGAAAAGATAAAGCGTCCCTCGATGATTACCTCTTCCAACTCTCGCTCCTGGACGCCGCATCCGAAATCCAAAACAGTGACCTAGATGTCACCCCCACCTCTATTTTCGACACAGTAGACGCAGAAGACTACGACTGCGACTACTTGGATGATAACAACTATGGCGACACAGAGTACCTCCCCGAGGACATCACCGAGCTGCCCCCTTTCTCCCAACTACACTCCCCACACCACCCGCCCTCCGACAAGACTATCTACGAGCTTATCACGGAAAGCAAATACACCACCATCCTAGCGAAGCTTATCAAGGAAGACAAGGAACTAGTCCATCTCCTCAACTCGACAGAAGCAAACCACACTTTCTTCGCTCCCACGGACGACGCATTCAAGAAGATTCCGCACCACGACGACCACAAACCACCCAAGGAGCTCATCCGCGCTGTCATCAAGTACTACCTTGTCCCGGGACTTTGGGACGCCCGCACCGTCTTCCATAGCCACACTCTGCCGACTGAATTGGAGAGTCCAGCATTGGGAGACAAGCTCCCCCAGAGACTATCCGTCCGAGCAGGCTGGAGAGGTCTCACGCTAAACTTCTATAGTCGGGTCGTAGCACCCGATATCGTAAGTCATTCATACCCTGGTCTCCCTGTCTCTCTCTTCATTGATCCTTCCAACGAAAAAAAAGCAACCCACCAAAACTCCAAGAGAAAAAGAAACTAACAATCTCCCAGCCCGGGAAAAACGGCTTAATCCACGGTATATCCAGCGTCCTCATCCCACCCCCAACAACCAAAACCCTACTCGACCTCGTCCCCACAAAATTCAGCACCTTCGACCTCGCCCTCATTAAGACCAACCTCACCATCCCAGAAAACAAAGACAAAGATACTAAAAAAGGCCACACAATCTTCGCCCCCTCCAACACAGCCTTCAGTAAACTTGGCTTTAAAATCAACGCCTTCCTGTTCTCGCCCTACGGCCAGAAATACCTCCTCGCTCTTCTCAAGTACCATATTGTTCCGGACCGCACGCTGTACTCGGATGTCATTTACACGGAGAAGGGCGAGATCCGACCGTTTGGGGTCAAGGGATTCACCCATTTGGATCTACCGACGTTGCTGGGGGACAGGAGGTTGAGTGTTGATGTGGTGCGGTTTGGGCCGTATGCTTCGCTGAAGGTTAATGGATTTCAGCGGGTGGCGGTTGCGGATGTGTTGGGGCGGGATGGGAACGTGCATATCGTGGATGAGGTGTTGGTTCCGCCGAAGAAGGTAGTGGAGGGGGCGGCGGAGTGGGATGAGTGGAATGAGGAGTTGACGGTGGAGGATCTGAAGGAGCGGCTTGCGGGGTGGGTGGAGGAGGATGATCATGATTATTATGGTAAGGGGATGGAGTCGTGGACGCATGGGTTTGACTTGTAGGTTGAGCCGTTTGCTGGTTTGAGTATCATTTCTACTGGTTACTTTCAGGATGCCAAAAGTTGGCTCTACCGAGATATGTACGCACATGCTAGGTCTACCGAGCCATTCAAATGATGTGATATGTCTGTAATCAATTGCATCTGTATCTTCGTGCATATCAATGGCACCATATTTTCAAAGCAAGCAAACATCCGTTGCCGGGTTGCAATAAAATCAATTCGGAGAGGTATGATCCCAGCTTTCCGCACAGATAAAAGCAGTTGTAAGTCGGCCGTGAGACTCAGTCTTCTGAGGGCAGATTTCTAAAAATGTATCCTCCAAAATAAGAACCATGTGCAAAGACATCGCCAGATCATTTCATACGAGATATCTCCTTAACCTACTTCCCTCCGCATATATAAAAAGTCATTCCTCCGAGGGAAAGGATCCATCGTGGGATTGGCCCCTCTATAGGGCTGTTTAATGAAGCCTTCTGGTCGGCTTCAGGAGCGCCTGAAATGACGACTCTAGTGCTTTCTTGATGTCTTTGTAGCTAACAACAAAGCAGCTTTGTTCATCGCGACTCACCAGAGTGATTTTCTCATCGGTGCCCGCATCTAACTTATTCAGACATGAAAGCACATGACCAAGGTCAACGACCGGATCACCCTGAGCATCAACTTGGTGGAAAACGTAGTCGCGGAACATCTTGAGGAAGTATCGCTCCCCATTCTCGGACCACTGCCGGTCGTGCTCATACTCCGGCCGCTCGTTGACGAAATTCAATTTGGTCACTAGTCGGACCAAACGGCCATTCTCAAGTTCCCGGCTCAAGTCTGACGTCAGTTCATCGTCCATGTGAAGGGCTGAATCGAATGTCGACATTAATTGTGAAGAAATGCCAGTTATGAAAATGTCAATATTTCGGTCTTGGTCCTTTTGCAGTCCATTGAGCAACCAGAACACCGAATTTTTGAGTTGTGGACTGTAAGCACGTGTGAAATGCTCCATAGCTTTGGTCGGGTTATGCATGACACTGGGCGTATTGGCGCCCAAAGTCATAATGAGTTGTCCGAAGTTAACTAAGTCTTGACGCTGGAGGTCCGCGATAGACCGCTGGGTGTCATACTGGACCACGTCCATGATGGCACAGGCGTTCAGGCGAATACGATTTTTGCCGGTGACGAGGACTTTACTAGGATCAAGAATCCTTGCGGCAAGCCCGTTGCTGTGGATGGACTTGAGGCCGTTTGCGATTTGGGTCATATAGCCCCACAGGACCTGCTCCGGAATATGCGTATTATGCCGACCTTGAAACCTATTCCCAGCACCCAGATGTTGTTCCGCAAGTGTTTTGGAGAGAGGGTGGTAATCAGTGACAAAGATCAGCGAGCTGTCTTGGAAGCTCCTGCTGGTAAATGCATCGTGGACTGTTACCACGCTTCCATTACAAACTCGTTTCCACGCCTGAACCGATCGGATCGCTTTCTCATTTGTCAAGCGAAAACCTTGGGAGCGAGTCAGCTGGGATATTAGGAAATTGAAGAATACAGGAGTTCACCTTCGAGTCTTCGAAGAGCATAGAAATTGCCATCTTTGCTGGACTGCGCTTTGTATACCCAACTGGGAAAGCCAAAGATGGTTGCGTTCTTTTGGTGATTTAGATCCAATGGGACAAGGGAATGGAAGTAATCGACTTGAGCGGGTAGTTGGGTATCTGGCTTCCAGTCAGCTCCGCTGGGTATGGCTCATGAAATGGAATCGACATACTCGGCAAGGTTTGTAGTGTAGCTGCGGCTTTCTTCTGCAGTTCCTCGCGGAAGTCATTGGGAAGGAAAAGATCATGAACATTCCGTTGGTAGCCTAGAGTGTTTTGGCTATGAGGGCCAATAGGAGCGTACAAATGGTACTGGACCTGTATTAAGGATTATAATGTCAGACATGCCCATCGTTTCAAGTGGCGTAGAGACCTACCGGTTGTTGGAAGCCAGACTGTCCGGCGAAAAAGGCGCCGCCCAGTGCTGCAGCTGCCGCCGCAGTATCATGTGCAAAAGGGTTTGCCTGGACTGGACCGACCGCACTAGCTGCGGAAAGGGGGTTCGAGGCTGTCACAAAAGGATCAAACGGGCTCGTCGAAGGAACGCCACCGTTACTATTCCCTTGAAGAGAGGCCTGGGGACGTGGGTTAGTTAAGTTATAACGAGAAGGGCCCGTAGAGTGTGTCATGTGATGGGACTCTGATGGAAATTGACAAACGGGGGAGGTAAAGAGGGCCGCAGGTATGTAGCCGCAGTCCGTCCAAACGCTCTGCATCTTGATAGCAATAGAGCTGCCTAATCTGACAAATGCACGATGCCAACTACCGATAGTTTTGGTAACGTTTGGGGGCGACCGAAATTCCCGAGCAAGCAGAGTGGCAGGATGTGGGGTTGAAAAGACAGAAGAGTGAATTGCATAGGCAAGGGAAGTTTATTTATTTTTCGGGGTTTTGGTTTGCATTTTCACTCGGAAGGTGCAGCCTTACCAAGTGGGTAGTATCGAAGCCCTGAGGCACAAATTCCTGTACTTCAGCCACAGACCAGTCCGGCGTCATTGTTTCAGCACGACCCGACGGGGTGCTGGTATTAGATCCTGCTTTGAGTCAATGAGCAATGGTGCACCAGTAAGTGAAGGGTCATCATGACATACGTGAAGTTATATTCCTTGGTTGGAAGGGAGCTGCATTAGCAGCTTTGGGGGATATTGTTGCAGCTTTCTTCGCTGTAACTGATGCTGTAGTTGGCGAAGAGCCGTTGGAGGATAGTAGAGAGGGTGTAAAGCTCGGGGAGTCGACGTTCAGCCGTCTTCTACTGTTGTTGCTACTGGTACAATCCACGTAAGTCATTGTCACTACACGTCAAAACTGAACTCTTCATGAAGAGAAGTTCAGTTCGCTGCCCGGGTATGCCAACCTGTCGGATTGATATGTTGTATTCACTTTATGCGGGTCATGATTGAAGGCGCATCCTTTCGGGAATAAATACCAAGGTCAGATGAAGTTCGTAATAATGATACATGCGGCAATGGGCTAAGGGACTATCGCGGCACCTTTATCTTCATATCGGCAACGACCGTATATGGTCACATTTCGACATAGGGTATCTTTCGCATTTTCTACCAGGACAACAGCACAATCGTGTCAGGTCAACTAGAGTTCCCCACATTGTGAATCCAAATGTATGTCGGACTAACCTCGTGCCTTCATTTTAGGTGATCCCGTCGCCCGGCGGGAGTCATCCAGGGTAGGCTTCCCTGCGGAAGCCATTGTATCTCAATCCACGATTCGGTGGGGGATTAACGTAAAACGATATCCATTGACTCAGAACAAAGAAAAACCGGACGACCGAGTATATCTAGAGGAAACCACATTCCTCTACTGAATGAATTCTGCAGCCTAATCCAACCAGTGGGTGACACTTGCGTCACGCCCTTGAACAAAGGGTTTTGCTAGGGCAACTCGCAAGAAGCCAAAGACGGATACGTGTGTATTTCCAAATTGCGCCGCCCTCAACGCGAGGGAATATACAATCTAACAAAAAAAAGCCGATGAATCACCACCCGAGGACTAGGAACATAACGCCGTCTTCATGCCACGGATGGGTTGAAGAGGGTTTCGCGAGGCGACATGGGGATAACAGGGCCCGCGGGGAGAGGGGAAGGCGAGAGAGGGAATGGAATGAGATGGTCTGTGAGTGTCCAACTCCGGCATGGCCTGTGCACGGACCATGTGCTGTCACCAGGCGCGCGTCTACCGCTAACCTCGAGGCGGCGATGACGGAGCTCTAGTAAGAGGACAGCTAAGTTATCGACGTTGACTAGTCGTCACTACTTCGGTATTTCTTACAACTTTAGGCTCCCTGGCGCCTTATTCTTTGAAGAGTCTTTTATTCAACCGGTTTGTATTCAACTATCTCCAGGCTTATTCACTACGTTACGGTTACGGTCCAACACCATTAGCAACTAGTACCTCTCCGTTGATCCCGACGAGCCTCTCACCAAAGCAATTGTTTTCCCCAATTGTATGGATCGAGCCATTGACCGACAATGTCCTCCTCGGAGCTTGATATCTCCCAGCTCTCCGACAGCGAAAGGTCTGCTCTAGACACCTATATAGCTGTAACGGGTCAGGAGCCATCGGAAGCTATTCCTTTGTTGCGCCGTTCTCAATGGAATGTGCAGGTATGGCAAATCTCATATGTAACAAGTCAGTTGAGTGATAGCTGCGGCTAACAGATCAAACCGAAGATCGCTATCTCCAAGTTTTTCGATGGGGAAGGCCCAGACCCAGTCGAAGAAGCTCGTGCAGCTCTCAATACCCCTCCTCCTCGACCGAATCGTCAAACCCAAAATCTCATGACAGATGACCTCGCCACAAGCTTCTCCTCGGCTGTACGTGCCGCCGATCCTGCTCCCCGAGTCGAGACTCAACCAGAAGGACAACCAATTTATCGTCCGCCTTTCCTACTAGCTCTCCTATTCACTCCGATCAACCTTCTATACCGATTACTTTACAGTTCCTTCCGCCTCTTTGGGACACTGTTCCCTTTCCTTCCCCGTTTCTTCAATACAACCGCAAGCTCAGCTCTTCACGGTACACGACGGAACACCAATGGACGCCGGCCGCTGGGGCCCAAAGACACAGCCGCCAGGTTCATTCGAGAGTTCGAGGAGGAATATGGTACCAACACGCTGCCTTTCTTAGAAAATGGATACAATATGGCCCTAGAAAAAGCCCACCGGGACCTCAAGTTTCTTCTCGTGGTTCTCCTGGCTCCTGAACATGATGATACGAATGGTTGGGTCCGGGATACCCTCTTGTCCCGGGAGGTTATCGACTTTGTCAATGACCCGCAAAACAACGTCATTGTTTGGGGAGGCAATGTGCAGGATTCGGAGGCATACCAGGTTGCAAACTCTCTTCGGTGCACCAAGTTCCCTTTCGCAGCTGCCATTGTTCACACTCCCAATGTATCATCAACGGCCATGTCCGTCGTCTCTAGAATATCCGGAACTACTTCACCGTCAGAATTCATTGAGAAACTCCGAACCGCCATCTCACAGCACAAGGAGCCTCTAGAGAGGATTGGGGCCACTCGGGCCGAGCAACAGGCTTCTCGCAGTCTACGGGAACAGCAAGACTCAGCCTACGAGCGTTCATTAGCCATTGACCGAGAGCGAGCGAGACAAAGACGGGAAGCCGAGGCAGCTAGACAACGGGAGGAACAAGAGGCTGCTGAGCGCCAGGCCGCAGAGGAGAAGCGGCTCCACGATCTCCAGCAGTGGAAGCGTTGGCGGGCACAGGCTATCCCCGACGAACCGAACGCGGATGTCAAAGATGCCGTTCGTGTTAGCATTCGACTGCCTTCGGGCGAACGTGTGATTCGGAAGTTCGCGCCAGAAGCTGACCTTGAAGAGTTGTATGCATACGTTGAGTGCTATGATATGCTGCAAGAGTCCAACGAGAAAACCACGGATGTTGAGAAACCAGATGGGTTTGAACACCAGTACTGGTTTCGGCTCGTTTCCCCTATGCCCCGGGTTGTATATGAAGTCGGTGCCGGAGGGACCATCCGGGAGAAGATCGGTCGGGGAGGCAATCTCCTTGTCGAATCAATCGATGACGAAAGTGATGGGGAGGATGATGAAGAGTCCTAGATCTCACTAGGGACTGTACTAGTAATGTATGCATACTAGCTGAGGGCAATTCATGGAGTCAAACTAGACCTGTCTAACTAGTCTCTTTCAAATTTGATACGATAATGATCACGAACAGTATCGGGCACGTCGAATCGACGGTGCTCTCTACATCTGTAGAACATGAATAACTCTCAGGATGCTTCCATTGGTACCAGAACCGGCACGTTGGGTTGATCTTTGATGCTGAAAACTTAGTCTGCCTGTCTCCCTAGGTACATACCAAGCATAAATTTTCCTGTGGATAGGAGCCCCGGGAGCACGCGTGTCCCATTGCGCCAAAGTGGTCACTAAAGGATTTGGCCGTGTTCAAACTTGCAAACAACAGTATTCCTAGAGTGACACTACGATGGCCTAGCATTGACCCCTAGGTGGCGGCTTCCGGTCTATTACCGCCAAAGTTCACAGCAATTGGCCATTCTTGTGCCGAACTCCGTGGTTTTAACGCCTCCCAGGGACAGAGCCTCCCTACCTCGCTTCGGGGACTATACCGTGAATAGAGGCAGCAAGAAGGATCTCATTTCCACCAAGTTACAAAATAAGCGTGTCGGCATCGTTGATATAGGCATAGCAGTTGTTCCAAGTGATACCTATGTTGGTAAAGAAAATAATTGGATGTAGCTCCTCACTAGGATACAAGAAACAAGGTCGATGAGCCCGTAGAACTTGAAGATCAAATGAAAGCTGCCGTGAGACCTTGACCCATAGTCCTGCATGCACCCTTTGCAGAAATGGTGGGCTGTTGGTGGCGTGTTCTTCATATCGCTATCGCGCAGGATGATTTAAATATCTTCAACAACTAGTTACTCCGTACACAATATCTATATGGAAATCACATACTTTATAATATCACGGAGAACTCTAGAAACAAACAAACTAAATTGCCAATACTAACTAGGTACGCCACCATAAGAGCAATATTTACTTCCACCGCACCATTCCTTTCAATGAAGACGAGGTCTTCGCCGAGGTCGTCATGTGCAGCAGCCTTGGCTGCTGGCAATCTCAGATGAACCCCTCCTGGACACCACCAAAACGAAGAGGCTAACAAACAGGTATATGTTCGTGTTAATGAACATATTAGAATGTCTAGAACCGCATAACTGGTAAGATATCGCCACTGAAATATCTATCTTGCGGTCAGTCAAGTTGGCGTGGCAATACTCTTGATAAGATGGCGTGCTGCACTTGGGCAGGGTAAAATCGGAGTAGGGCCTGGGTACGGGACAAGCCTTAGTTCAACCGGAACCTCCCTCAACCCTACTACCGTAGGTCACAAGGGGCAAGACATTTGAATCCTCGGCATATACCTATGTAATACCAGCCCAGCAGCCGTGTTTTACATCCAACTAGCCTTATTTCCACTATGCCTTGGGGTCCCCGAGGTTTCCACCTGTATAGGCAAGCTTATGCCCTGTATATTTAGGCTTAACTTTGTGCCACTACTGTCGGTGTATGTATCAAGATGATATGTTATACTATATTGTGATGTATACCAGGTGGCAGTGTAACCAACAAGGCCCAGATGTGACAGATCCCGATATACAGAGCTTGGACTTCGATAAGCGCAATCATGGTCGAATTAACCAGAGCCTGATCTCTATTATGTAACGTCGGTTAGGCACCAAGTTGATACGTAGACCATAGCGCACATTGGATGCCTTAGCTTCGCCCGATCTCCAGATTATAAGCGTATAGCAAGAGAAATAAAATCGTGATTAAGGGTACAATCGGGTAGTGTGGTCACCCGAGGTGTTATTAGTTTCCATATGGAGGTAGTGCGCCATGACCATGTTCTGATCCAAATCTTAAGAAGCTTCGGATTTTAGATGGGTCTGATCTGTCATGAACGTTATCTGTTCAACCGCGGTCATGAGGGCCTGGGGTATACATATGTTGGGGGGGGAATAACATCCGTTGATGGGAAAACATTGGGGGTCGGTGTAGAAAGTGTATATGTACAGATGCATGGTTGGATAGATAAGATGAAAACATCATCTTTAGGTTATCGGGGCATACATCAGCCGTCCAAAAGGGGCAACCGCTGGAATGCAGCTAGAATAAGATGTTAATACACTTGCAGCGCTGAAGGATCTCGGATCTGGTGCACCCGATACTGTACCGTAAAAGAGGCGAAGAGGCGAACAACCCGGACTTCGGATTTCGCAGTTCCCGCCCCACTTGCTACCGGGACTAAACTCATTAGGGTCAATGCACCAGGTTTCAAGGTTCATCAGACTCGGAAAACCTTTATTAACCACGTTTTTCGACTGCAACGGAGAATTTTCTGGCCACCCCCTTTGCCTTTTCTGGCTATATTGTGCTTATCGGTACGGGAATACGAATCTTACGAGGCGTTCCACATTCGATGTCTTCTCGACTAATGGTCATATCAAGCTCATTGCGCAACCCTACTATGTAACACAACCGTTCTCTTTTGTGTTCCTTTCAAAACACAATTCAATTGTGATCAATGTCGGTGTAACATGATGTAAGTTGATATTGATTGAGCCTCCACTGGATGTGTTGTCCTACATACACGGGATCGCCAATCAATTGCGTAGGATAAAT